CCCCATGGACATAATATTCCTACACGAGAAGATAATAAAAATGAGGTGAAACTGTTCTAAGAGGGAATTAACTTAATTTTAAAATAACATATCTCTTCCTGAGCCAAGGGTCTATTGGAAACAATCTTGCTATCCTCCCAAGATAGGGATAAAGTCTGTGTACATACTATCCTCCCCGAACCTCACGGTGTGGATAATACTGGGTATGCCGTTGTTGTTAAAATGACATATCTCATTAGCCTTATAGCAAACATTCACTGCCGTTGGCTTCTTGGAGAGTGATTTGAGTTAACTAATTACTAGGCATGTCTCGTAAAAAATGTCGATCTTGACATGCATGCGCCGTCCTTTACGTCCATCCCTAGTTTTTGAAAATTGAGATAAAAGCATAATACTCCCTCCGTTCCAATTTATGTGAACCTGTTTGACTAAGCATAAAATTTAAGATAAAATGAAAACTTTTGGAATTTGTGGTCCTAAATAAGTCAAAAAGGGGCTCAAAGTATTTGTGTGGTTATAAAAGCTTCTCATTAAGGGTAGAATTATAAATTTAAGCTAAATTTTCAAAAAGGTCGCATAAGTTAATTTTCATCAACTCTCCTTATGTGCTTGTCTGCATTGCCTGTTTCAAATTCAGATAAAACACAAGGGTCGCAATTAGCTGATAGCTAGCGTAAAACTTGTCAGTTCATAATAAATTCTCATAATAAAGAATTATAGATCAATAAGTTAATCTTCATCGATTTAAAAGCACGACATTACCATTTAACTTGTTACATTGTAACATTTTTTTGACATAAAAGTCTTAATTCCTAAAAAAGTGTTGGCTCAAATAACGAGTGATAGACTAAAGTTCGTTCTGAAATACTTGCCTTATTTTAATTATAGTTAGTTATTACCTCTAACAATTAATTTTTTTTTAAAGAAACCAACCGTGCATGGTTGTGATTAAATAAATTGATACTACTGATTAAATAAGTAAAATCATTAAACATGCCTATATATCGTAAAATTACTTTTAAGACTTCTGTTCTGCTCTCATTCTCCACAACCGAAGGGATGACCGTTCTTTGCATTTACATCTTCTTTATATGTGGATGATTTCTAACTAAAGATTACCTATAGTTATTTAAATTTGTAAATCTTATTGTATATTTTTTTCTGATTGCAGGATACTATTTCAGCTTGTGCTAAAACGAAGAAAAAAATTAACGAGCTTTTCATTTTCTTGATTCCGAATAACTATTAAATAAATTTTACAACTTCTTTTGGAAGATATTTCCTCCCATCTACTTTAACTAATATTTTGGTTTTTTTTTGTGGTCCACATTATTTAAAGAGAGAAAACATTTTTTGGTTGTTTACTTTGGGACTAACAACAAAAAAAAAAATCTTTAGAAATAAAATCTTGGAAATACAAAACCCTCACATGCTTGCCTCTTGCCTTGTATTACTTTCTTGTGTACGCTGGATGTTTAAATGGGCGAATTATATTTTTGAAAACAAAATTTGTGTTATTCAAAAATAATTACAGGCACACTTATACTTTACTTTTTATTATAATTCAAGAGTGATACTTTTTCTTCTAAATTGTACAAAACCTACAGACTCAAAACTAATTTCATAATTAAGCCCCAATATATCATATTATTTGATCTTGTCCAAGAATCTATATAATTTTATTTTTGTTATACTAACATTGGCCTTAATGGTACAAAATGATAAATATAAGTCTATCTAAAGTTCTAAACATAGTTTAATTATCCACCGACTGTTTCAAAGGCAAAATAATTAACGAACTTCGTCGTGATTTCATAAAGTTGTGGAATATTTCTTACTTTCTTTTTGTTAAATATTTTTCTTGGGTAGAGCAAGTACGCCTAAGTATTAAAACTATTACAACTTGATTTCATTAGATTAATCCAAAGATAAAGTTCGTTGAATAAATCAAAAGCAAAGTGTAATATATCTGAAAAGCTAAACAGAAAGTTACGCCGACTAAGGCATATTTTATTTTAGTTTCTATAATTTTTTAAACGACTAAAAAGATAATTAATTAACTATTTTATCAATTATTCTCACGAGTGCATCCCTAAACTTTCCCGGCGTGTGTGTGTTAGCTTTTTTCCTTCCTTCTTTATATACTTGACAATTGTCACATACCAAAACGGTAGTTAATTAATACATATTTTTATTTTAATCTATTATTGAACCATAATAAATTAATAGTATAATTTATGTAAATATCCTATGTGGGTAGACTTTTACCATGTATACATCAAATAGATGTAAGAGTGGATGTTTTGAGATTATAAAGTAGCAATTATATTTTGCCAAAATAATAAACACCGGGGGGGTTTCACAAAGCCAAAAGCTTTTGCTTTAAGCACCAAAAAGAATTAGAGGCCCCCAACATTACTCTTATTATATATGATAATCTAAGTAATTATTACTTATTTTATTGATAAGCAAATTTTTATCAATCATTTGCTGCTAATTTGTCACCGAGCATACAACCACATAGTTCTAAATTTTATTTTATAATTCTTTATAAATTTATTTGAGGTAATTACAGATGAAGTGGTAAGCAATTAAAACTTGCTTCAATTTTGTTTACAACTTTGAAATTTATATATTTCCTCTTTTAAGGCTTATGTAGACATGCTTCATGCTACAAATTGGAATCATATATTGATGTGTTTAATATCCATGTAAACACAAATTCCCACATGGTTATTACTTTAATTAAAGGCAATGTATTATTGAGTTGAAGGTCCAATGGAAAAAGTATTTCGCGATTAAATTTAAGAAAATTCCACCCAAGATCAACAATGTCGGAAGAAAGATTGAATGGATTAGTTATATCATCAATTGAAAAAAGAATTATTATAAAATTAATAACTTTACATATCAAAGATCTAGAAGCACAAGTTTCAAATAAAAATGGATAAGATATTTATTAAGCAAGATTAAGACCTTGTATTAAGGTTTGGCCTTAATTAGGTCACCTATTCAATTGAGTCGCACCTCAAATGATAATGATGTTTGATGATATTAGCAACTAGATTATTCTACCTTGGTCTGACTTTAATTAATTAACATAATCATTGAGCTATCAATAAAGAGAAACAAAAAAACCCTTTGCAGATATGATAGAGCAATGTTTTCTTGCCCATGAGACCTATGATTGGCATATATTCACAAGTCATTTTAATTAAACTAACGCACTCTCAAAATTCAGTATCATATATTCATATGATTGAATGGCCAAAATAATCAACATATTATTACTCTACCTGAGATGAAACAGAGTGAATCTCACTTCAAGCGTAGTGCACAGAATACAAGTTATTTGATCACTTGGTTAAACCAAAATTTGCAAGTTGAAGCTTAGTAGATTGCTTGGCAAAACCAAATTTTATTTGCAAAAGATTTGATCAACCTAGAGGAACTCAAACTTGATATGTGCAATTGACTAAGTTGATATGATGAGATCTCACTACCATCATAATCCCTCTCATTCTTCATCATATTATAGTTTGAACTTTCTTCTCTTTTCCAAGAAACTTTGGAGCAATTATAAAATTTTCTCTGTGTAACCTATAGATCACATGTTCGATCCGTAAAATCAGTCATTAATGTTTGCATTAGGGTAGGTTGTCTACATTACACCCCTTGAGCTGCAGCCCTTCTCCGGACCTTGCGTGAACATGGGATGACTTGTGCACCGGGCTGCCCTTTTTCGCCCTCATTTCCATCACTAACTACACTAATTACAATAAGAAACTTGGATGGTGTAATATGGGATTCAAAATCTTGCTTGGAAAACTTGTGCTCTCGGAGTATGTAGACAACTCAATATGTTTTATAAAAAGTTTCCTACTTAAGTTAAATTTAGAAGATATTGAGAAATAGCTGCACCTCATGTTTTTCGTTGGTTTTGTTTGTCTTTTGAAGGGTTTGCTTATGGGGTTTCATGCTCAATGTTGCTTTTAGGTGGAAAAGAATGGAAGAGAGAGAACACACATTCAAAAAGAAAATGAAATTTGGATTTAGTGAAAGGAAAATCATTTATTTTTTCTTCTTGAGTTGGCTTTGGGAATAAAATGGATAGAGTAGAAAGAGAAGACACATATTAACACACACACTCCCCTCACAAGTATAAACAATAGTGGACCAAAATAAATTTTAACAACATACCCTGCATATTCTCACAACGTGGGGTCCGGGAAGGTAATGTGTACGCAGATCTTACCTTTACCTTGTGAAGGTAGAGAAGTTATTTTTGATGGACTAACGGCTCAAGAAAAGCAGGACCAAAGTCAAAGTCATTCAAAATTTTCTTCTATTTAATTTTGTTTTTTTCGCCTATATAGTTTTACATAGCAAAATCAGTCTCAAGCTCGAATAAAGAAGGGTTGCTATAAGCCGAAGTCAACTATGATGAATCCTTTGAATATTGAGTTCACATAATGAATATAGAAAATCCATATATTTGAACCCCAAGTTATATGGAATTGACAAGCAATTAATTCTTCCCTCTGTCCAAGAACCAAACAAGTGAGGCAAAGAATTTACAAGTTCTTAATTATTCCTATTTTTTGCTCCATTTAAATGGAAAATAATCAAGCATTTCCTCTAAGTCAACGAATTAATTAAGACGTGTGATGCTAATAAGTCTAACTATCCCATACCCTCAACTTGCAATATCTTAGTTGGAGCAAATTNGGTCATACAACCCATACTATAATAGCATATAGCTTGGATATAGATGAAATGCTTTTTATAGAAGTCTTTACATTGAATGTGGGGTCTCATTAAAATATATATAAGTTCAAAGAGAGTTAAACAAATGTATTTGTAATATCTAATGTGTAGATACATTAATTAAAGAATATATGTACATCAAAACAAAGGAGAGAAGACCACAGACTTTAATCATATGAAAAGGACAATCAAGACATCATTTTCAAATCCTAATTACATGCCACCCCCTTATGGCCAACTTCCCCCCCTATTTAAACCTCTCTATTCCTCTAAACCCTCTCCACACATTTGTTTGTCAAACAACCAACTAGAGAACTTATATTCCCTCTTGATCTCTTTTCTCCTCTTTGCTCTTTTGTCCCACTAAATCTATCCAAAAACAAAAATAGTACATCAAAAAAGTGAGTTATTTGCATATTTCAAGAACTTCTTTATGAATCAATATTGTAATCCTTGTTCACCTCTAATGGTTCATGCACTTGAACAAGAAGATTTCTTTACTGGTAGATGCATACTAGTAAATGGTCCTGTTATTATTGGAGCTGGTCCTTCAGGATTAGCAGTTGGCGCGGGTCTTAAACGACAAGGGGTTCCCTTTGTAATCTTGGACCGCGCCAACTGCATTGCTTCCCTATGGCAAAACAAGACATATGATCGCCTTAAACTTCACCTCCCGCGACAATTCTGTGAATTGCCTTACTTCCCATTTCCAGAAAACTTCCCTGAGTATCCTACTAAGTACCAATTCATAAGCTACCTTGAATCTTATGCAAAACATTTCGAGATCAACCCACGATTTAATGACTCGGTTCACACTGCTAAGTATGATGAAACTTGTGGCTTGTGGAGGGTAAAGACAGTGTCTAAAAATGGTTCAATCACTGAATATATATGCAGGTGGCTTGTGGTGGCTACAGGAGAGAATGCAGAAAGGGTGATGCCCGAATTCGAAGGATTGCAAGATTTTGGTGGACATGTTATGCATGCTTGTGACTATAAAACAGGGGAAACTTATGAAGGGAAGAATGTGTTAGTTGTTGGCTGTGGCAACTCTGGAATGGAAGTTTCACTTGATCTTTGCCACCATAATGCAAGTCCATCCATGGTTGTCCGAAGCTCGGTAAGTCTCATATTCTCATCCAAAAATCATTCCTCACAAGTATTTTTTCTTTTTTGGTACATTTGAAAAGACTAAATAAATTTCTTAAAATCTTTCATAAGCTACAAGCCTAAGTATGCTAGGAGAAAAAATTACACTCTATAATTTTGAGAGCATCTTTCCAGACCTATGTTGCGCAAGACTCTCCAAAATGGCGCTGCACCCGTGTCGGATCCTCCAAAAATGCACTATTTTTGAAGGATCCGACACGCACCCACTGATATTTTTGGAGAGTCCGAGCAACATAGTTCCAGACTAACATATCTTCCTTATATCTCCAATTGCTCACAAGTATAAGATCTTATGATATCTTAACTTCATTATTAATGAACAGGTTCATGTTTTGCCAAGGGAAATTCTTGGAAAATCGACGTTTGAGTTAGGAGTTTCGATGATGAAATGGCTACCAATTGAGATGGTTGACAAGATATTGCTAGTTGCAGCAAGGTTACTTCTTGGAAATATAGAAAAATATGGTTTAAAAAGGCCATGTATTGGACCTTTACAGCTCAAGAACACAGAAGGGAAGACTCCTGTCTTAGACATAGGTGCGTTACAAAAGATTAGATCTGGAAATATAAAGATAGTTCCTGGAATCAAGAAATTCTCTCAAGGAAAAGTAGAGTTTGTTAATGGGGAAATTCTTGAGATTGATTCTGTCATCTTGGCAACAGGATATTGCAGCAATGTTCCTTCCTGGTTAAAGGTGAGAAAAGAACCCAAGTTTTGTTTTTCTTTTTGTTTTGTTTTGTTTTTGGTTGTGTACTCAAGTAGGTGTATTTATTTTTATTTATTTATGGATTCTTGTGACAGTTATGGAAGTTGGTTTTCTTGTAGATTCTCTGTTCCTATTTCTTGTATTGTTAGTGATCAGGTGGATAGTATTCTCATTTGCTTCAACAAAAAAAAATTAATTTATTGGGAACAGTGAAACATAACTGATCACTTTCCATCTTTTTATTTTCTCTGGATTTTCTTTTTCATTCTCTTTTTCTTTAGCTATGGTAATAAATTTTACAGAAACAAGATTGAGTTTTCCAAGAAAATGGTTAATTGGATTAGATCTGCTGCAATTCTTGTTTCTTTTTTTTTTCCTTCTGTTTTCTTACACATTTTTTTCTTTTTTAGATAATTAATAAGAGTTTTCAAGAATATTTTTCCTTAAAATAGTGGCCTAATGAGAATTTATTGTTTTTTTTTATACAGGAAAATGAATTTTTTTCAAGGGAGGGATTTCCAAAAAGCCCATTTCCAAATGGATGGAAAGGAAAAGCTGGTCTATATGCAGTTGGATTCACAAGAAAAGGACTCTCTGGTGCATCTTTGGATGCAATTAAAGTATCACAAGATATTGGTAAAATATGGAAAGAAGAAATTAAGCAGAAAACTCAATCTGTTGCTGTTGCAAGCCATAGAAGAAGCAAGTTACCTTTCTAATGCCAAGCTAATATGATTTTTCTTTTTCTTTTTTCTTTTTTCTTTTTTTAATTTTTACCTTTTCTTCCTGTAACTTTACTTGCCAAGTAACAAGCTGATAGTCTGTAATGAGGGGGAAAAAAGTAAAGACCATTTGTGACAAGAGAAGGAAGAGACAAAACAGAGGGCAGCCCTCTCCAGAGAAATCCCAAAATTCATATTTGGGAATTTTTGTAGGAAGAAGAGGCTTTTTCAGCATCTACTTCTAAGGAAAATTTGTACAAAAGGTTGAATAATATGTAATAGAAAATGTGACTTTATATATCTCCTTTCCCGGTAAGTAATTTAACCAGTTCCATAAAAAGTATTTAAAAAAGTGATGTAATATGCAAGTATGTTGTTCAAATTATGCATTATGACTAACAGTATATTTACCGATGATAACGGTAAGGTCTGCGTACACACTACCCGGAGCGGTTGTTGTTGTTGTTGCCTCTTGTACATCATGCTTCAATACTTGTGTGAAGGAAAATTCATCTTCTAATATTATCAAGTTGGTAAAGAAGGGTCAAAGGTAATAGATAGGTTCTCTCACTCAATAAATTTTGGTCCACCCTAGTCATTTATTCTACTGATGGGATCTATCTTTAGAACATGGTCCACCTAGGGTCCCATTAAATATGGTGGACCAAATATATATAATTCCAGAACATCCCTTATTTCTATTTAAATTTGATAGAGACTCTTCACAACTTTAGTAGGAAATACCTATGTAAAACTCTTGGAGCACCTCCATGTTGCCAAGCACATGGATAGAGCCCACACAAAAAACAAAAAACAAATAAAAAAGAGGGTTAAAAATATCCCATTGCCTTCAAGTCAAACTTGGAAGATAGCCCCAAGGCTTGGTTCAGTATAAAACAGCGGCACACGTTAGACGCACATCATAAGTTTAAAACTCTACCGCGAACAAATAGAGCAGTTCGGTGCACAAAGTATCTTACATTCACGCAGGGTCCGGAGAAGGCACACCGATGTAGACATTTTACCCTCATGCAAGCATTAGTGGCTGCTTCCACGGTTCCCAACCGTGACCTATAGGTCACATGGAGACATTTTTACCGCAGACAAAGAGCTTGGTATATATAAAAGGGCAAGGAGTGAGCCCATTATTTACTGAGTATCGATCGTGCACCAGCTAGCTAGCCCTCTAAAATTTCTCAGTTATTAAAAAAGCCAAAATTGGAGAATAGTTTGATACTGCTTAATCTTTCTTAAAGAGTCACATGTATAATAGTATACTTTTAAGAGGTTTCCCAAATTAGATAGAATTAGAATTCCATACCTCAGACTAGTGCCATATGAGTCTAGCTCAGACATTATCACCTAGTGAAGTGAGATTATCTTGAATTTCAAAGGGGACAACTGCATGGATGGGGTAGCTCAGGGGTCAAAGCACCATGAATGAATGGAAATTTCCTAAATCCTTTTCATCCACATATTCCCCTCCTCAGAAGTCAAAATATTTCTAACATTTGTTCATAATATCTCATATAACAGCTTGCCTTGCCAAAAATAGAAAATTGGAAAATAGAAACAATGATTCATTTTATCCATCTAGTCTAGCTACCTATCAGAAAATCTATATGAATCATTTCCATGTTAGCATCCTAGATTTTTCTCCTGTCTCATTCTTCTTTATNTGTCTCCTTGGTGACAAATTTTATTTGAACTTACTTGGATTTTCAATCAGATCCAACATGACTTAAATTTCCCATTTCACAATGAAGAAGAACATAAAAAATCTACTGACAGAAAAGATTTAACAAAAGGAAGAAAATCCAAAGCAGCAGTACATATATAGACAACCCATATGAGTTCCCATGCTGTTGAATCAAGCATGCAGCAAACCTTTATCTAGTGTCCCATCTAGAATTGCTTCACCACCACATACAAAAGTCTTGCAATAAGAAATATAAAAATAAGTCAGTTTCAAACCTTATTGAACTTAAAACACACAGTTCATGTTCCTCAACTTGCTCCATGCAAAGTGTTTGAATTTAACACATGACACTGAAGCTACAGTTGTTATTATGTCATTTTGCAGTGGAATTTACTTAGGTTTTTCTAACCTTGCAACATATTATTGAACATCGCTCTTACCGAGAGAGGAATACACATGGCCTGGTCACAAACTATATCCATGAGAAAGCCCATTCCTTCATGCTTTGATCTATCATGCAATCACTTTGCAAGTGTTCACTTGAGTTGGATGGTGGGCACTGGCCTTGTATCTTACTGCTGCATGTCCTACCTGAAGATTGTGTATCCTGTGATTGTATAAGTTAAAATATGTAAAGCTTATATAGGTGTTACATAAAAACGTGAGATAACAGGTTACGAGCTTTCAAGGTGAGACCTGCAGGTAGTGCAGCTAAGACTCAGTAAAGAACTTCAAAAAAATCAAAATGTTTAAATTACACTGATTAGTACTCCTAACACTTAGTGATTTCTTTTCCATCCTAACTTCCAAAAATTCATGTCTTTGTATCCACCTCTAAGGTTGCGCCCTAACACTGATGTTTGCATCTCTGTTATAAATCCTCATGCAAATAAGTGTGGATTAACTTGTGTGACAAAATTCCTTGTTACTTTCCTTGATTACTTTCTGTGTAAAAATCATGAACTTAAAAATCCACTTAAGAAGTCCATTGAACAATGCCTATGAACATTCATGCCGGGATAAGGAGCTCCGAGAAATCCAAACTATCAAGCATTTATCATAAACCAAAAATTTAGCTTTCACCATCTTTTAACTCTTAGAGCAAAGAAAGTCATGTACCTGGATAAGAAACTTCCCCTCCATTTGAATTCATAGTCCACCAGTCAGCTTTCATTATCTTTGACTAATACTTTTAACCATTTCTACAATATTTTTGAAAAAATGAATTTCCATATCATTATACTTTGGACATGGTTTGAAAAGATGAAAGTTTTATTTTCGAAAACTACAAATCATCTTCAGATTTCGTTCTGGTGAGAGGTCGAATTGACTCCTGATAAGCAAATTAATACATTCAGTTTGACCCAGAAAACAAATACAAAGATATTTTAAGCCAAACCAAATCAAATGAGATGTTATGGAATCACTATCAAAAGCATTATCCTCGAGCATCTGAAACTATATGAAGAAGTTTGTTTACCAATAGTCAACATAGTTAATTATTATAAAAGAAATTGCTTTTTCTCTATCAAAATGCGTTAATTCAAATGCATGTTCAGTTTGACACGTAAAAATTGGACTACCTCGAACTTCTATAGACTGGACGCATCTCTACTTTAGATAATACATGCAGTTATTCTTTTAAAAATTGACGCTATTTACGTACATGAGAAGTTGCTATCACCAAAGGTTCATCGTCAAATTATTCACTTGCTGGAAAGCATTTGATCAATTTCTCCACTCTGATTGTACATGCTAACAATTTTCTTTGCATATGCTGGCATGTGTCTGTCAGCTCTGCCTTTCACAAAAATCACAGTAGTTAGAGAAGAACATGAGTTTATCGCTCATACTGGAATAAACATTAATTCTCTACAAACCTTTCCTTTCCCCACTTGCGGACTACATGTAAATAATTTCTGATTGTGTGGTAATCTAGTGAGTAACGTGCAAATTCTAGACCCTTCGGTCCGACCTGAACCCAGAGAACCAAGTTTAGCACAGGAAATTTATGATCATTTCTTTTTGAGAAGGAATTTATTATCATTTCTGAAATTAACAAGTATATGAACAAAAAATTCTTACTATGTTGAGAAAAAATGCAATTAAATTTCCAACAAACTTTGGAGCAGGTTGAGCAGGACCTCTTCCTGGAAATTCAGAAAGTTTTGCATGAGTCTTGTATCATGGAGGAAGGTTCAAACATCATAGAGAAAAATATTTACTTCAAGATCATAACAGAAAAAGATTTACTTCTCAGGATTCTACCTTGAGCATACCAACCATGAGTATTATAACAAATAATTGAAACTGTAAGCAAATAAAACAGCCAAATCCACTTGACTTTTAATGATCAAAACAAATTAAGGTGAACTATTAGGCCAGCATAAATAGTCAATGAGATGTGCCACATACTATAGAAGTAAATGAAGTAGTGTTTTGCTATGCCTGTATATACAACATAACAGATATACTATGAGTAATATCAAACTAATTTGAGAGTCAACTATGATTAGTCTCTCTCCCATCCAGAAAAATCTGATTAGATAAACAATGTCGAAATAGCTAAACATAAAGAGGAGTGTTTGTAAAGGACCAGAATCAGCAAATAATAGACTAAGAAATTTAAAAATTAAGGATGGTCAAAGCGTAGTAATAAATTCATTAAAGGCTGCATAGCTTGAACAAGCAAAAATTAGAAAATGAGACACGACATAAGAAAGGATTGAAGTTTCATAAACCCCTACAGTTCCCATTTTTCTACAACATCGAGGTGATAAAGATGGGATAAAAATTCAGATAGTTGATTAAAGTATGTGCCTCGCAAGATGGACCCACCAAGAACAGTAATAACCCGAGAGCAGATATCAAATTCTGAACCAGCATGGGTACACAGAGAGTCTGCTTAGTAACTACTTATGATGACTATATTTCACAAGATAACCACATACCAAATTTTGCTTCATCATCTGCCTTTACGGTTTCTACGACAAATGGACGCCGGTTACCCTGAAATAAGATACATGCCTTAACATAGTTATATTATACAAGAAAGAGTTTAAGGGCAACGTTACGAGATGGAGCATCATGTATTACACTACTTATCGTTGGAGTAATTTCCAAAAGGTTCTCGACAAGGCTTAGCATTTCTCTACCACGTTCATTTCTGCATTTGGAATATGCAAAGGTATCTCTTTAAAAAGCTTATTCCATGGTAAAGCAAACAACATGCCCTTTGTACCCAGTCAAAGGATTAAAACATTTGGCATTACTTCACCTGACCGTAACATATTGTGGATGCTGCATCATGTTGATTCCACTATATTTTGGTACACCCATGTATCCCACCACCAAATCCTGAAATTTCCTTGAATGTAAGACTAACAGGATATCAAGTTTTGCTTTTATTCAGAAGAAATAATCTGCCTCGGTAACATCTGGAGCACCACCATAATGGAGCAGGACAGCGACAGGTAAATCTTTTAGGAGCAAAAAGTACTTAATTGCAATGGATAATAAATGTAGCATCAAACGTTTACGAAATTTTTTTTTTTTTTTTTAATAAGATACGTTTACTGAAAAATCTTTGTGAAAACCTTAAAGAGCAAACATATGAACTGGACCACCATGCATTAATCCAGGACCCAAAGGACTTGACCACAAAATTCCTTCTGGACGTGAACCATGGAATTTCATCTCTAGATATGTCACAAGCTTTCACTTAAGAAAAAGTTGGAACAAATTAGTAGCCAGGTGCAGCTCTAAAACCCAAATTTCTGAGTTTGACAATGATCGAGACTACTTCTGCAAAACCTTTTTCCCCCTCAGGGAACTACTCACTGGAAAAGCTTCTTTTTGTGAGAAAATAAGAGGAGACATATTCAAGTTTGACAATTTGATGACTGCAATACACACCTATCTATAAGATCAAACATATTACTCATTTGTTAAAGCAGGATAATCTGACTTACGAACTTAACACATCTAACATTTTAACTTTTTCATACACCACCAGTAACACTTAAGATTCTAACATACCCCCTTAAACCCATTTAGCGGAGACCAATTCGGGTTTGCCATTTTTGAAATACAGAAATGTCGAAAAGATATTATAGATGTCAAACAGAAAACACATATGATATTTGTCCAATGAGATATATCTTAAAAACTTAACACTTATAACATTCTAACTCTAATATTCTAATACTGAACATTTAAAATTCTATCAATTTTGAAGACTGATCAAAGCGGCAGATACAGTACTCTTTTCATTGCTCTATGGAAATCTAATGTATGCGCATGCACTGTGGCGCATGCAGCTCGCCTATGTTTCTGTTATCAGTACTCTTTGTAAAAAGTGTATTATACAATATATCAGGACCTTTGGTTATGAACAGAAAACTCACCGCCAAGCCATTTGTGTAATCAAAACAGCTGTAATACAGAAAAAAGAATACTTTACAAGTCAGCACGAGTTAATACTCCGAAGAAGTAGATATAACAATGCAATATATGATACATGAGAATACAGGACATTAACCTTGTATAGAATGTTCTTTCAGACTTCTACACCTAGAGAGCATCATTACTTTAAGGACATCTGTTAGACAGCTGAAACCCATATTCATATTGTTTAATTGTTTGATTTCTTTCTTTCAATTGATAGTGTTTACTGATCTTGACTTAACTTAACTGCTCAAGTAAAAGGTGACGATTGACTAGTGAAAACTAGAGATCATGTAGAAAGTATAACTCCATCACACTACCTTGTGCACATAAAAACATGCTTATCAACTTGCTCCCTAGTTGTTATACTCCAATACTGAAGGAATTTTGCCAAATAAAATGCTAATTGGAATAAGTATACATAATAATATTGAAAGACTGTCAGCAAATCAAGAATAAGCAATTGAAATACCTGTAACAAGATGGTGCAATAACATCAACTAACTCATTTGCTGGTAAACAGAAATAGGGAACCTGCTTTAGTAAAATATAAATCTGAATAAACATCATTAAGACAAAACAGAAGATATGAAAAAGTAGATACTGTTTTACCTCTTCAATATGACCATCTAAATGCTTCAGATGGACCTGTTGAATGTAGAGCATAGGCAGGTATGTTAAACTGATTAGAACACCATCATACATAATTCAGTAGTATATCCTTTAGATGATAATTAATTAGAAACCTAAAATATGGTTATATAGGATTAACTGTCAAAATATTTTCGTCTAAGAGGATAACGAGACACATATGAGCTCAGTGTTTTCTTCCTCATTTGGAAGTTCCTACTTATAGGCAAATTGATGCAACATAGAACAGTACACCCTCTGTCAACTTTTATGTTAAGATATTATTTCAACTTGTGTATTAAATAAGTAGTAGTGGAAGAAAATACTAAAATAGTAGTTAAAGAAGTTAGTTTGACATAGAACAATCAAATCAAACCTTAAAATTTGGATTAGTTTAAAAGACTTGTATTCTAGAAACTTGTGAAAGTTGTATAAAGTAATATTATTAGTAAAATGGTCTCAAACATTTTGATACATGCCAGATAACGAGACTGGCATACAAATTAATTGGGATGGAGAGTATGATACCGAAATGCATCTTCAAGAGTGAATTGACTCACCAGCCAAATATAACCATATTCTAGACAGAGCACACTAGTCATCAGGTTAACAAAGGTTTTTTAGCCAAGTTTGAGAATACAACATTCAGAAAACAGATAGCCATGACAAGTACATGAGAATATAGAAGTTGGTTCCCTTGTGCTTATACTTGAATGTATAGAATTGCAAGATCACAGAGGTGATGCATAGGTTGTCTCACAAAGAAGGTGGGCTTGTCATGAAAGAGTAGCATGAGCACACCCCTTTTTCATATGAAAGTACTATAACAGGAGCACACCTTGTAGTCTTGCATAAACTCATAGTGAAGAACTGTTTCAGGTTCACTGCTAGCGGCCTTCAGAAACTTATCTAAGCCTTCTCGTTTTCCATTATCCACTGTCAAGAAACTACTGTCAGTAATTTCGGCTAAAATATCTAGGGGGGGAAGGAGTTTTTAATAAAAAGCAATTTGTAGAGAATCCCACCAAATATATGTCTTTCTTTCCCTCCCTGCTTCTGTGGTGGACAAACTGGAGAATTTCAGTGGAATCTTTGTGAAGAAATATCATCTGATTAATTTGAGGGTATTTACTCCTTCACAAAAATTGGGGAACTAGGCCTCTGAGACATAATGGTGTTCAGCAAGGCCCTATTAGGTGAATGGCTACTGAGATTTGGTGTAGAGGAACAGGCTTCATTGAGGAAGGTTTATTGTAGACAAATATGCGGTTCAAAAGGCTGTTGGATGGTTGAAACAGGGACAAGACCTTATGGAACATCTCTTTGAGAAGCATCATGTAGATATAGGAGGATAGAGCAAGAGTTGGCTTTACAGAAACAGAGACCGTATGGAGATAATCTCTTATGTGACACTTTCAGCATTATCCACAAAACATCATATCAGCAGAAGTCTAATATTTATGAAGTGTGCAGGTAACAGGAAGGAGAACCATTTTGGACTCGAAGTCAAACGAAGCTTGCAATATCGGGAGAGTTGAGGAACTCTATCAGTTACTTGATGAATTATAGAGGCACAAGATCTCAGTCACAACTCAAATATTTCTATCACAGACTACTTAGGACAGACAATGTTCTCTTTCCTCATATCTCTATACGGATATGCATGGCACTGTGGAACTTCCGTTTTTGGCATAGAGAGCTGCATGCGCTATCCTAATAGAGGTTTCAACTACTATAGTATATCATCGTTAGGCCAATAGGCACTCTTTCTGAATTATATATCAAACTTTTTGTTATTTAGCAAAAATAAATAGGTCAAATCTTTGTCCAAACATACTTGATTGCTACCTTCATCAAAATCTCAGACAGTTGGTAGAATACTCGACATAATCAAAGATGTGAGAAAGAATTTATGAATGCATCTGATTACTTACCACAGTTAGTGCCTAGAACATATAGCTTTTCCAGATTCAAATATTGCTCCACTGATCTTAAAGCTGCAAGTTACAAAATTGCTCTGCTTGTGATATAGATATAATGATAAGCGATAATCTTAAAGCAGAAACAAAGAGATCATAATAACATGAATACCTTGCACTTGGCAGCCAACACCGCAGAACAGAAGTCGCTTTACACCAGCTGCCTGTTTTGTGGAAGAAGATTGCTTACATCAAATTATACTGTAAACTTGCACTACAGTTCTCAGTGAAAACCAGAGTCCCTTTAAACCAATTTTTAATGCAATAAAGCATGCACAACTAGAAGGTGTGTAACTGTATGGATTTCATTGTTATGACAAGAAGATAACTAGAAGCTCAGTATATGAAAAAAAAGAATTTCAAGAGTAAATATGAGATCTAATGACAAGAACAAAAAAGAGAGCACCAGAAAAGAAAGATCTCAGGAAAAATTGTCAGATTTGAATGCCATGATTTCTTTTGTACTTGCTCTCTCAGCAAATCAATCTGTACGCAGCTACTAACTTAAATCTATCAAATTCCTCATTGTTTGTACACAAGTAGACCATCAGATATGACCTGACTGAAGCAGGGATAAATGAAAAGAAGCCAAAAACCATCCAAAAAGGTGCTATAATTAAATGAGAGAGAGAGAAGCCCAGAGCGATAGAACAATAGGATAGAGCGGCTGTGCAAACGGGCTCACCAGAGTTTGGCTTTGATACTGTTTGAAAGAACCTGAGCATCCAACCCAAAATCTTAAGGCAATGGTTGGAGTAGCCCAGGATTATTTAAATCCCTTTGGAAACCCTTACACAACCCATGAGAGACAAGTGTAGCATTCTCTCATAATTCCTNTTAAAAGATTGCAGAAGTATTTCATTGGACATTGCAAAGGTATTCCATTGGAGGATTAAGAATAAAGGGCATTCTAAAAGTATAACACTTTTTAACCTTGATGGATTTCGTAGTAGTGAATCCTTTCTCACGAAGTATTGGACATTTACATCATTTCCTTCCACATTTCATGAAGTGGTCATGCTAGAGACATAAACAACCATTGATATTGAAATCTTGTCAGAACACAAACTCTTAGAAGAAATTTTGCTGAGCAGACATAACTTTTATAAAGATTTTTCTGTATAAATCACCATAAGAACAAAATTGGAAGTACCCTTCTTATACAACCATGTAGTAACACAGAGACAAACATACATAGGAACTAAAATACAGATAGTTGAAGTAAAGTAGATTCATAAATGAGAAATTACATCTTTTAAAAGAGATAACAAAATAATAAAAATTGAGAAATTACACAAGGGAGAAGGCACAGGCAACAGAAACACTATTTTGTACGTTAATGGTAAAATGGGAGAGGAGAAACATAAGAAATAGTCTGAGTCCTACGACAACCACAAAATTCATGGCCGTTCTAAATTCTTTTCAGTAATTTGGCATTTTGCCATGTCTTGAAAAAAAAAAAAAAACTGTCCAAAAAAGGCACCAGAAAGGATTCAACAGAAACTACTCTTTATAGCATCTAGCAGAGACAATACCGTTCTCTGGCTTCACCTTTTAAGAGATTCTAAATCAGGGTTAACCACCTTCTATACAAAGAGTAGATGCCATTACCTAAAGTAGCTCCTAACTAGACTGATTCTACTGTGGGTGATTACTCAATGTGCGATAAAGCTTGGCATGTAGGAGGACTAAAGAAAGAGCAGCTAGTTCGCAAAGGAAAGGGAGGAAGCAATTGAGGAAAAGCAGCCGGACAGTGTCAAAAGGAAGTTAACTGAAGAACCTACGATCTGTCCCAGAGGAAAGAGAGGACATATTTGGGGACAAGCAAGATGACATTGCCAGGAAAAGGAATTCAGCTCGAACCAAAATATAAAAAAATAAATCAAAAATCAAAATAACTGCTCTTAATGAAATCTCCAATTGGGGTACATTACAAAGCATAGTTACACGAGTTTCACTGACCTACCCAGAGATATGACATCTTAATGAAATCTCCAATTACAGGAAAATTACAAAGCATAGCTACACAAGTTTCATTGACCTACTGAAGAGAGATATGACATCTTCAATCTGGACAACATGCTCCATTCAGAAATTTAATACAGCGATGCCAAATAAATGCATTGATGATGATAATAAACAAGCAAATAATTCTGATGCTAATGGAAGTGAAAGAAGAAACCTCAACTAAGGCGAGAGTATTTAGATTAGGAGACAGTGTTGGCTTGACACCTTTAGCTGCTATAACTTCCTCTGGAGTCCTTTTGAAAACATAAAGCAGTGAGGAGGATGGAAATGGGTAAATATATCAATATGTCAACATGAATATAAATACCACAGAAATTTATTCACAAACCTTGCCAGGACAGGTCGGGGAGTAAATCGATCTTCTGGATCACTAAAACAATGTAAAGAAGAAGGTAAGAGTCCATAAATTGTTGGATATAATTGGGAAGAAAAAAGGAAAATACGTGAAAGTAGCAATTTGCAGAAGAATGAACAGGATCAAGTTCTATACTTTGGTGTATTAATTATTTTATAAGAATAAAAACCCTCAATGCCATGCATATTATACTACTTTCTGTTTTAAGATGTTACGTAAAGCTTAAAACGAAAATCATGATTTCCACCAAGACAATTCTTCACTTTTATGCGTACTGAAATATGCGAGGTTTTCTAGATCATTATTACTAAGGGCAACTATGGAATAACTAACCAGAATTTCAAATGCACAAGTATTACAATGAAAGTAACCAGGAGGGAGAACCAAAATTCTTTTTAACCAAGTTGGATGCAGACCGTACCTCTGAACACAAACAACAGCCTCCACCATCCCAGCTTTTAGCATCTCCACTGCAATAGTTGTCACTATCCCCGTCCATTGAGCTCCTGAAAGCCAGAATGAAAAGATGGAATAAAAATTGCAGATGTTTGATAAGAAATTGGCATGCAGTAACAACTCACTCAAAAACAAATCTATATATCTCCCGGAAAACTAACTAATTTGTTAAATTCAGTAGAAGAGCACAAGAAGACAAACAATTGTACATATGAAATGGAATACTATTTACCAGATCCAAAGTTGTACCTTCCACAGGCTGAGTTTTACGAGCATACAACAGATTCTCATACACTCCCATATAAATCTCATCCAACGAATCTTCTTTCCGTCCTCGTCCGTGGACAATAGGCTCCAAAGCCTGAAACAGAAGATAAGAAACAGTCAACATTATCTGGTTATTTTGAACTATCATATAACTTTGACTAAAAGAGCAGATTCCACATAGCATAGCAGGTCTGTGTTGATAGCGCATTCCTAGGAGATAGTACTCGGAGCTAGCACCAGACTTTATTAGTAAGTAGTCCCATCAATCTTTATCATAGAAGAGCAAATATGCACTATGTATCACCCTCCTCCACCAGTCAAACTAAAAACAGGACAAAATTTCAACCTTTAACAAGTTCCTTTGGACAAAGTTCCCCTTATGAATCTCCACGAGGACAAAAGAAGAAAAAGTAAAACGAACTTGTGCGAAATTGGGCAAGATACCTCTTGAAATGTCACAAGATAATAATATACCTGTAAACTATGTTAGGCTGTATGATATTATTAAACCTAAAAATAAAGGACAAGAACTAACAGAGTAGAGGACAGCTCATTCGCGTAAGATGCAGACCCCGACGGAGAGCTTGATGAAGGTCTATGATTGCTTCTCCATTCCCCTATGATGTGTCCTTTTTGACTTAAAACCGTTCTGCGGCTCAGTGTAAGTGTATAACATTATCCAACCTATTTATCTCAGTACGGCGAGATTATGTTAACATGATTCAAAATGCAACACATTTGCTCACAAGCCAGCTCTTATAGCAATATAATAATGCTTAATACTTCATTTATTCCAATATCTTGTCAATAATCAAAAGCAGAATAGCAGGTCACACCTTTTACTAAAGCAAGTGAAACAGAAAAATAAAAGACGAGCATGCTTATGCAAGAATTAGTTGGGGCGAGAACAGGAGAACCCATCAAGTTCTAGTACAAAACTTTTCATAGGACTGAAGTGTTAAAATCTCTTATGATCCCGACAAAAGGGGTTTTAATGAAAATAGTGTGGCCAAAGAAAGATAAATTCAATTTCACACAAGCTAATAGTGGATGGTAACAGAAAGCAAGGACCACTATGATCTCTGCACTCTAATTTTATCTGGCCAACTTTTTTTATGACTTCCACAACACACTGCAATAACAATGCCAAGTCTTGTTGCATGCATAGCACATAATACATATTCATGACATGTGAAACATACAAATGAGACAGCAATAGGTAGGAAGCAAAAACAAACGAAAATTCACAGGGAAAATCTGCATGTCACAGTGAAAGCATGCCATAATCAAACTTCAGTGAGTTATTTGACCAACTTACGGAGCGAAAAACCAGGAATAAACAATCAGAACTGCAACTAAAGCTAGCAGTACCATGACTAGTACAAAAGCAGAGAAAGACTCACTTCAATTCTAGACATGCCATCCCCCAAGAAAGCACATGCATTCTTGACATGGGCAATGTAGTAAGAGTCGCATAAACCACATTGGCTGCAAACCAGAAAATATTATACTACCATCAGAAAGTTATATAAAACCTACAGCTAGTCCTGGTACCACTAAAACGAAATACGATTATTAAGAAAATGTCACAAAAATGGCAAGCAATTAACTTTAATAAGTATGAAGATGACTGGTGAAACAACATACCGAAATTATAACCTCCAAAACGTCGAATTACTAGTATGTAATAGGGGTTAATGTACAACATTCATGTGACATCAGCAATAGCATTACATTAACATATTCCTAACAAACTTAACATATAACACATTCAAACTTTTCTTCTTCCTATTTATATAAAATTAACCCCAAAGTACTTTTCAAGTTTTAACACCAGAAATATTCCAAAATATGATAGAGGAATACTATAAGGCTTTTCTAAGACCCAACGAAATACTCCCTCCATTTCCAATTGAATATTTCACATTCTGTTTTCACTTCATGCCAAATAATGTCCAATATCCGTATATTTATTTCTATAAATGCTTCACATTTACTATGAAATTTATGAAAATTGACCCATCATAGTTTCCTCAAAAGAAAACTTGTCAAACACATAATAATTCAAAAAAGAAATAACAACACGAGACCCTCTTTTTATCTTCTCGTTACAACATTTTCACTCTTCTAACCTACAAAAAATCAAAAAATCAAAAATCAAAAATCCGATTAAAAATAAATACTTAATTAATTTTATTTTTCAACTCTTTTCTAAAAATACCCAACAAACTCATTCAATTATTCTCCCTTTTTAATACTCCCATAATCACAATTTGTATGATCATACACTTTTCCTTTTAGTCTTTCTAAGAATAACACATTTCTATATTCACAAATAATTTAACTTTAAAATTTTTGATTTATAACCGCACAAATGTATATCACTTGTTTTAAACCATAATTTTCAGAAGTCTTTATTTCTTTTTTAAACACCGTACCCGGTCAAATAAGGTCAACATAAGATGAGATAAATGGAGTAATAGATACTAATTCAGAGGTAAAGCTAATATTTGTTGAGGTTTTATTTTAAGATGTAATATTCTTAAAATGAGGGTGAATGGGAAATGGAGGGAAAATGAAATTTTGAGTAAAATTTTAAGTTTCCCCCTCTTAACAATGAGACATTGTCCCATATTGGAAGTGGAAGACATTTTTGGTGGGTATATATATAATTGCTCTTCTTGTAGCTCTTAAAGAGTTAAGAAGAAAGCAAGCCTCGCGCCGTCGTCGTCGTCGCTCGCTCGGCTCGGCTTCGGCTACGGCTACGGCTTCGGCTTCGGCTTCGGCTTCGGATTCGGATTCGGATTCGGATTTGGATTTGGATTTGGATTTGGTCAAATGATCGATTGATTGATTAATTTTTTGGACCAAATTTATTTGTTAATAGTAAATATTAACGTAAGATTATCCGTATTTGTAAACGGATATTTTCCAATCCGTGTATTGATAATTTGGCAGCCGGATAATGGTCTTCCCACCATGAAGTGCTTGCTCCACAAACATGAAGTGCTTGCTCCACAAACATGTAATGCTTGCTCCACCATGAAGGGTGGACGTTTGGTCTTGCACTCCTTCTTGGCTGCTATATATATGAGCAGCAAATGTTGAAGAAAGATACTCAACTCAACATACAATTCGCTCAACAAATTGGCTATACATTGCACTCCTTCCTCTCAGAACTTCCATACGTTTTTCTGAGTATCTCCTCCTTCGTTCTGCATTGTTTTTTAACTTCAAACAAAGCAACTGTAAGTGTGATTTGCTACCGAACTTTGTGTTCGCCGAAACACTGGGGTTTGAAGTACCGCTACACCAGTGTGTAATTCGTTCTATCCTGGGAGGAAATAATCCATTACCTTGGGTACTAGGAGGGGATTAAATTCCTTAAGGAAACACTGTGAATTCAGTGGGCTCGAATTCATTATTATTGTTTCATTACGTTAACTTATATTTTGCAGAATTAATATTTACAAATACAGGAATATTGACCGGGAATAACAATATTTTAATAAACTTAAATTTAGAAGAAAGAATAATGAACCTGCAGTGGTCCTTAGCTGGATAAGTCCCACCAGGAGGAATAGGTCGTGATTTTTTCCTCCAATCTTCTCTAATTTTCACTGCTTTCGATTCTGCAACATAATTCAAATAACAAAATTAATATAATTCAACATTGTCTCTTTTTAAAAAAACGTAGTAGCATAAGCTTGTCATTGTTTTATCTTTTTTTCCTCTTCAGTATACAGTTTACGTATAATTGGAGAGAAGAGAACCTTGTGATGAGGAAGAAACAGTGTAAAAGTTGAAAGGTAAAGAAGAGATGTTTCCAGTGAGCAACGCCATTGCTATTCTACTCTCTTACTGTGAGCTTGGGGAGTGTGTGTATCTGCAGAAGTGTTTTGCGCCACAAATTTATCAAACGTGAATCTTTTAATGGGAAAATCTACAGCCGTGCCTTTAACGATGTCGTGTGGTACTACATTAAGCTTATGTAAAAATATAGTATAATATTTGTATATTTATGTAATTAAAAAATAAAATACTTCCCTTGTTACAATTTGTTTTGATATTGTTGGACTAAATAAAGAGTTTGATATATTTATTATGGTTAATTTATTATTTCCTCCGGACCATAATAAGTGACATTTTGACATTTAACATACCCTTTAAGAAAATACTAACTCCTAAAAAATAGGTATTTTGAGTAAATTATCCTAAATAAAAATTTGTATATTGTTAACTTGACACGCTGGGATATATAAATAAGGGCAGATTTTGAAAAACCAAAGTTAATTCTTTTTTGATTATACAAAAGGTTATTTATTTTGGACCAAAATAAAAAGACTAAAAATCACTTATTATGAACCAGATGGAGTAGTATCTAAGTGGTAACAGAAAAATTAGTAAAATAATGGTTAAGAAGTTAATTTTGGTAAATTCAAAAATAGCCAGATTTACAAGTGGTGATTGAAAAATAGTCACAGTTTCAAAAGTAATTAAAATTTATCCACTTTTCATATAAAGATAAATTTGAACGAAAAGACTGTTCAAAATCCGAAAAATATTCCAGCATAATATACTAGAGTTCTAGTATAATATACTAGTCTAGCATAATATGCTGGAAGTTCATACATATGTGCTCCAATCTCCAATATATTATGTTGGAACTTTCCGTTATTGGAGTTCCAGCATAATATGTTGGAAGTTCATACACATGTGCACCAATCTCCAGTATATTATTCTGAAATTTTTCGTGTTGCAGCAAAATAGTGACTTTATGTTGAAACTTTCCGTGTATTGGAGTTCCAGCATAATATGTTGGAAGTTCATACACATGTGCACCAATCTCCAGTATATTATGCTGGAATTTTCCGTGTTGCAGCAAAATAGTGACTATTTTTCAATGACTTTGCAAAAAATGGCTATTTTTTAATTATTAGTCTGAAAACTAGCAAGTCCGTGCTATTTTAATTTGATAGAGAAATATTTTGTCGACCAAAAAAAACATTATATAGGCTGGGCCAAGTCAAAAAGTGGTGGTTTAATTGGAGCAGCCCATCAGGCATTTGTTGGGCCTGGAGAACACCGGCCCATTATCCTTCCACTGCACAGAAGGGGAGCTATTCGTTGCTCTGTGAAACCAGCCTCACGCGGTCCGCCCCACTTCAGGAGTCCAGCAACCCATGCTTTCGCTTGGGCCACATGACCCAACTCTGTGCTTGGACAGGGCAGGCCAGAAATTAGCCCACCAAGCCCTACCATCTGGAGCGGCCCAACATCCCATCACATTATCGCCCCCATTTGGGTAACAAGCCCACATTGCTGAGCTCGGCGATTAGTGTTGCCTCCTTTGGGTGTTATAACTGGAGAAAAAAAATTGTTCAATAACGGTGTGGGATTACTCGCTCATTTCCACAACCAAACCGTATAATATTAGTGTAATGTTGCATTATTATAAATAGCTGGTGTACTAATAAATAAATTTTTTCAACTAATTAAATGCTACTACAAGACAACCGTGTAAATACTGCAAGTAATACTAATTATCATTAGAGAGAATTAAGAAAAAAGTCAAAAACAAACAGATTTTATTTAACAATTTGGTTCATCTTTTGTGGTTTGAGCGTCCAAACATTCACAAGACTAGTACATGCAAATGGAACTGTAATTATATCATTTACTAACATTTTGTATACCACGTTCCTTAATGCGGTTTAATGAAAAATAGAAAAGAAGCAGTAACTCTGAATCTTTGATTAACAATAATTTTTATAAAAATATATTTAAGGAACAGTGAAATATATGAGGATTATAAAAAGAAGCGTGAATAAGTTCAAAAGAACATTTCCAAAACAAGCATTTTCATAAATCAGCAGTTTGTCGAGTTTAGATGGCGCAAACCTAAATTAATCAATTTTATAATTTTTAAAAACAGTGAAAAGATTACCAAAAAAAAAAATACTCACTCCGTGTCGCCCAACAAAATTATATGGTGGAAGATGAAATATTTAAAGAAAATCATCTGTCCGTGCTCGGTATCTTAAAAGGTCAAATTGATTAATTTTAGGAGTACTATTTTTTTCTAAGTTTTTTGTTCAAAAATTTCAGGCTATAATATGTTATATTCAAATAATTGACGTTAGGTTGCAAAGAGTAACTATGAATAATACAACTGCCAAATTCTTCATTTTGACCATCAAAATCAACCTTGGACAATTAATTTTAATAGAAGAAATATTAAATAATGGATTTTGGTTTTATATTTGAATACCTTCAACAATTTTTTCGGGTTTATCTTACTTTATAAACCAATGATGTAATTATCATATTTGTTCTTGGCAGAGTTACTCAATATTTATGCTCGAATAAAATAGGTTGAGGCACGTATAAACTAGCTCGAACACCATTATCATTAAAAAAATATTGTAAACCCATTTGTTGGACATGCATTGCACTTGGAAAGGAAGAACCAAAATCGCGATTCAACTGAGTTATAAATCGCTTGTCTAGAACAAAGAACACACAATATTATAATAAATTAAATGGAAAAACTAATGGAATTCTGGTTCCAGAGCAAGTACAAAGGACAGCCAAAAACATCTTTTTAATATATTGGGCTACTTAAAGCCCCAGTTTTCAGCAAATACAACATAAGGAAAATAATATTTATATAAAAAGAAATATCATTTCCAGAAAAGAGAAAAGTACATTTGAACCTTTTCTTCTCGTGATTGACAATTAAACACATCTTCTGGAAATACATCATGTAGAAGTCCCCAAATCTTTCTTCGTCTCTAATCTTCATTACAATGTTTGATAAACGAATCCTTGTATACAACGAAATCATGTTTATTGCCAAAACTGTCGAGAACTGGCTATCCCATCTTCCGATATGCCTCTTAGATACAATTGCCAAAACTGTCTAGAACAGGCTATCCCATCTTCCGATATGCCTCTTAGATACAATTGCCAAAACTGTCTAGAACAGGCTATCCCATCTTCCGATATGCCTCTTAGATACAATTGCCAAAACTGTCTAGAACAGGCTATCCCATCTTCCGATATGCCTCTTAGATACAATTGCCAAAACTGTCTAGAACTGGCTATCCCATCTTCTGATATGCCTCTTAGATACAATTTGCTTCTCTGGTGGAAAAAAAAAATGGGGTGTGTGTCTAAACCATGGATAATGTACAAAATCTGGACTCCGTCTGGCTACCAAAAATACAGGCTGGAGAGGAGCAAAAGGCTAGCTTTTCACAAGAAAACACTCGTCATCATACTCGTGCCATGAAGATTAAAGAAGCTTGCTGGTTCGCCGTCTTGATGGCCCTCCAGGAAAAAGCTTCATGATCCATCCCAAGACCCGTTCCACCACCTGATCCAAACGACATGCAAAAAAAGAAACAAAAAAGAAGATAAAAAGGAAAAATTACAGCAACCACCAAACTAATCATACTGGATATTATCAGCTTGGCGATATGCACCAACATGCAAGATTAACAGCCTGATGCCAGATTGGATAATTTCCAGCAACTTGACTCCAAGAGAAAGAGTCAAGTTCAAACTCAAGTCTTTCTTAGCTTGCTATAATCAATGTAGTTTAGCATTTAACACAGATGAATTTTAAATAAGGAATCCTAGAGCATAGAGGCCTTATCATTTAAGTTCCCTTTACGAAGAAAGGTAACAGCAGAAGTGTAGAACTATTAAAATTGAAAGATGGAAAGGTAACAAAACATCTTTAGAAGGCTAGCGAAGCACATAAAAGCAGTAATTAGAAGTCATATCAGTAAAAGGCTTACAAAGCAACATATGTTAAGTTACCTCATCTCCTTCATCAGCATACGCCATATTGTCATGTACAGACACTGAATCTGGTTGCCTTGCTTGGCTGTTATCATTTGCCATGCTTTGAGCTGTTAAAAGCTCCAGTCTTTGAGTTTGAGCTTCAAGCTTTCGAGTTAAGTCCTTGTTTAACTCCTTGACACCCAAAAGGAACAGAAGGAAAATCCCCCAAGAATATTATAATGAGAGAAACAAAATTATTAGTATCCACCTTTAAACTAGCTATGAACCTCAAGAAGATTAATGCGGGACTTCTAACACAAACACTACATGAAGCTGGCCAGATATTAAAAAGAATGTCTGGGCATGTTGGAGAGGATGAGTTTTTAGAGATTAGTAGTCCATACATGACCAAAGAAATATGCATGTAGTTTACTCACAGATAACAAAGGGGAAAAAGAAAGGAATAAAAAATTTCAGGTAAAAAGAAAAGGAAAAAGCAGAGAATGAGATTGCCGTCTAGCACATCGGTTCAAATTACCTTCAATTTCGAGCTCTGAGAAGATTCGACTGACAGGGCTTTTGTCAATTCGTCTTTCTCCAAGGCTAACTGTAATCATTCCAAGTAGTGCAATTTTTAGTTATTTGATAGTCATGAACGCCTGATTTTATTTGGAGCAAAGAAGATAGGACTAAATTAGAGGGTGTAGAAAATGATCAGTCTCAAGGATATCATGCTACCTCAGAAATTAATGTATTAATGTTTTGGATCATCCTAATCTGATCTGCAGGAATGGCCAGTGACAAACTTTCAAGACTAAGCTGCCCAAAATCAGGCAGAGAAGAGAAGGCGGGGCCATCAGCACCAACCAAATTAGGGTCATTTATGGCACTACTTGCGATAGTATCTTCACCTGAATGGACACAATTTGAAATCTATGAATATATAAAAAGCAATTCAATGATAAAAAGTGGCCTTCAAATGATATGAGGCAGTAATTTGAGAAATTTGAAATACATACAGAGATCCTCTGTTGAAGTTGATACATCTATTTTTGCCGGCATACTCCTGCTAGGATCAACTGACTTGCCATTAGCAGAAGCTTTTAGGAATTTGGACTGCAAA